CCATCCCACCCATAGCCCCATCCCATCTGCCTGGCCACATGTGCCTTGCCCACAGAGGTCATAGGCCAGTCTCCATGAAGGCAGTCTGCCCATCTGCCTGCTCCATCTGTCACCCCCAGTGGTGAGTATGGGGCGCACAGGCCAGGGTGCTTGGCAGTGGGGCTGGGGCCACCAGCACCAGGGCTGCTGGGAAGCTGAGTCTGGCTGCTGTGCCACGCTGCCCTAACCCTGCTACGCACCCAGGGACAGCAGGACCAGCAGCATTTGCCACAGCCAAGGCTGCCTCCCACGCCTGGGGCTGAGGGACCTTCTGTGGGCCAGATAAAATCCCTTAGAGGGCCAGATCCAGCCTGCAGCCCATATTTTGCCCACCCCTGATTTAATGCCAGCAGGGATCCTGGGTGTGCAGGCCAGTTGCCAGCTTTGATCTAATTCTCCTGTAGCAAGCCTCCTGGTTTGTGCACTCTTGTTCTCCTGGTTCTGGACCCTGGCTTTGGTTTACTTCTGGACTTCAGCTTTGGATTTCTCTGTGGCTCTGTTTCCTGGCTCCTGACCACAGCTAGGTTCTGGTCTTGGACTTTGCTCTGTGGATTATCCCTCAGATTGGTACTCGGCCTATGTATTGTGGACTCTGCTGCTAGATTCTCCTCTGTGTTGGGTATTATGGCCCCCATCCTCTGAGTCAATCCCAGGCCCCTGGTTTTTTTCCTGTGGTCTAACTGTTAGGCAGACTACCTATGCCCCAGTCCCTTGCAGGTTTTAGGCCAACAGAATTTTCTTGAAGTCAACAGAAAAAGACTGACATAAAACCAGTGGAACAATCAGGCTTTTTAACCTCATTTTGTCTTATGTCAGCATATTTCAGAGTTATCTATAGCAGGATGAATATTCAAGGGGCATTCCATTTTTTTGCTGAAACTAGAAAATAATTCCTATAAAATCTAGAGACATCTTCTTGCACTGCACTATGCAATATAAATTCCTGTACATTCTGGCACACCAGCTCAAAACAACCAGGCTCTAATGCTTTCAACCAAAAATAAATGGTTCCAAAAAGCAATAAAGTCTACATTAACTCTACAAGAGTAGCAGCCAGACTCCGTAGTAACTATAATGCAACACTTTTCTCCTATGTATAATACTGGTTTTTTGGACATCTGAATATAACTTACTTCAGAGTAGATCAAGGTATAGACAAGTAGATGTGACTTTAGCGGGGACACTAACTTTACACTTCTGATTGGTGATTTCACCTGCACCACCAGATACAGGCAGTCCCCAGACTTACGACACAATTGGTTCCTAAAAACTGCATCTTAAGTCCAAACATTGTAACTCGGAACTGATTTTCCCATAGGAACATTGTAATAAATGGGAGATTGGTTCCTAAAGCAAGGCCCGATACCCTGTTTTCACCAAAAAAATAACCCAGAATTTTGTACTCAATCAATTATAGATGAGTAATATTGTTACATTAATGTATTTATATTGTAAATAGCAATCATATTGATTTGGAAGGACTTCTCTGAGGTAACTTTGCTGGACTTTTTGAAGGGTTCTTGGCTGTAGTCTTCTCAGGAGTTTTGACTGCAAGTTTTTCTAAAGTCTTGTCTGCTTTCTTAAAGAAAATGTCAAAGGAAGTTTGGACAGATGTTCTCCAGGGAGATGGGCGACGCAGCAAACTTGTTTGCTGGCATGGGGTTGCATCAGATCAAGCATCGTAAAGTCAAAACTTATATCAAAAAGTCGAAACAGAGTGTCAACTTATAAACAGGGTAAGTGCGATTCGTTGCAACTCAAAACGTCTTAAGTCAAGGACTGCCTGTATCTGAAAGATACTCTTTTCTTCACAGTGTGCCAGCTACATATATCTGGCCTGAGTGTTATGCTTATGAAATATAACTGGATTACAGTTACAATTCCTCACTGTCAGTATTGGGCTAATAAAAGCTTGCTAATTATGAAAACAGACAGTTTTATGGTCATCTATACAATAGCAAGGTCTTGCTTTTCTAGATGTTGATAGTTTCCTTGTGTTCTACCCATCAGACCAGGCACAGCTGAGTCTCTGTTATCTGATGATGCAGTAAGCAAAACAGAAACACTGGACAACTCACCTCAACCTCTTGTATACTTGGATTGAAAAATGTATAGTTGTGAAATGAAAGAGCAATGGAAATTTGTTATTGGACTAATCTGATGCCTTGGGCAAGAAGTTCAGTTTGGAGAAACAATAATAATCTCTTACAGAACAAATCTATTACTTTCTAGCTCCCTCCTGATATCCAAGAGCAGCTCTTGAAATTTCTCCCTTATGAAAGGTGTACTAAAGATACCTAAAGTATCTGTAGGTATATCCAATAGTACTGCTTTACTTTACCATTATGGTATTCAAAGGCAGTTTGCATTTCATTTATCACAGTATCTCCTGGATTGATGCATTATGATGATTCAACACTTTTAAATCAACTTATTATTGCTTTCACAAGACAACTTATGTTTAACATGTTTTTAATGGGGAACAAGATGTGCTTGCTATATACACCAGTTTCAAAATTGACTAGATTTCAAATGGGCAATGTCCTTTTAAAATAGATTCTGCCACATAATTAATTCAGAAGGGGTTTCAATTAATATTTTTATACGCTGTTTTAAACTTCTGGGTAGAATGGGTCAGATAAGGTAACACAGACAGACATTTGGAGTCAACCTGTAGGCACTCAGTCTGAGTCATATGATCTGCCTATACCTATCTATAGTTTATTTTGTGGCTTGCTGCACAGCACACTGTGCTTCCTGTTCTTCAAATGCAGCTCTTCTAGGAATTGGTCCTTGAACTACTTGTCTTTCCTTCCAGGCATGTCTCTATATAGGGGTAGCAGAGATAGAAAATAGGATGTGGAAGAACTAGAAGTCAGGAACAGGGATTTGTGAGATAGCTCCTGTCACATTTGTCTTGCCCCTCCCAGCTTCCCCACATGCAGTGAATGCCTGTCCACCCACTGTGCACCGTGCCAGGGCCACTGCCATGCATCTTCCCCCTCAACCTCATCAGCCTGACCAGACCCCAGCAGTCCAGTGACAGACTCCAGGATGCTACTGCCCTGCCACCATCGCATTCTTGGACCTCCAGCCCCACCAGGCCAGCCACAACTGGTAGCTGCATGTCGTCCAGCACACCTGGAACAACGAGCAGTGTCTGGGGCCTTCAGAATGACCCAGGCAGCCTTCCAGGACCTCCTGGAGCAGTTCTACCCACACCTGGAGCAGCAGGACACCAGCATGTGGCTGCTCCTCCCTATGAACACCTTCCTGGCCCTCACCCTGTTCAAGCTGGCCACACCCGCCATGCTACAGTACATTGGCCACATGTTTGGAGTGGGCAAGGTCACCACAGAGGAGGCCATCTTGAAGGTGTGCAGCACCCTCCAGGATATGCTGGGGACACGGTACTCTGCATACATGACCCCCTGGTGGTAGTGACGGGGGTTCTTTGCCCTGGGATTCCCCCAGTGCATCAGGGCCTTGGATAGGACCCACATCCCCATCACCTGCCTACCCTGTGGAGACCACCCCTATAACAGCCAGAGGGGCTTCACTCCATGGTGCTGCAGGCCATTGTGGACCACCCTGGGGCCTTCATATATCTGAGTGTCAGCTGAGTGGGGCCTTCATACATGTGAGTGCCCACAAGGCCTTAACCTTTATGCAGTACTGCCATGCCGACTGGTTGTGCCTGCACTCCCACATCTGGGCTGACAGCCCCTTATAGATTTGGGTGTTGGAGCACCCACCCTGCTCAAGGTGGTGCTGCACTTCCACCTTGCCCCACAGCACCATGAGGTTGCTACTCTCCTCCTGTGACCGGATGGCGGGCATGCACCTGGGCATAGGCATCAGTGAGGCGGACGCTACCAGAGCTCCCATGCCAGCTCTCTGGGCCTCCATGTGGCTGTCACTGTGCTGCCAGGCTTGGACAGCTGCTTGCAGTGCCCAGCACAGGGACCTGGCGTGGGACTGGCAGCTGCACAGCAAAGGCAATGCCCCACAGTACCTGCAGGCTCAGGACAAGCTGCTGGGGGTGGGCTGCAGGCAGCTGGAGCTGGCCCCTGCAGCCAGAAGCTGCCTGCAACTGGGCCTGTGGGCTGGCAGGCCTGGCTGGAGCCTACAGCAGCCTGCAGAAGCCTGCAGGCCTGGACAGTGTGGGCCTGGAAGGCACTGCACTACAGTGCCAGGCAGCATCGCCAGGCTGAGGCAGCTGGCCTGCAGCCTGTCCAGGAGGACACAGGGCCTGGAGTGCCCTCAGGCTCCCTGCTAGTGTGCCCTAGGGCTCAAAATGCCTGCAGGCTTTTAAAGGCCTGAGGCAGGAGCTGCTATAGAGGCAGCCCAGCCCTAGAGCAGGAGAGGCTCCCAGCCCAGCACCCTGGGGCTAGCCTCAGGCCAGCCCCCCAAGTGGCAGGGCTGACTTGGGAGCAGATTTGCCCCCAAGTCCCATCTACATGTGCATTACTGCACATTAATTAATCATGAGTAAATTTGATACCTGCATTTGCAGGTTTCAGTGAAGGCCTTTTACTGTGCAGTAAGCATGCTCACATGTAGATGTGCACATTTACTGAGCAGTAAACCATGCTACTGCACAGTTAAGCATCTTGTGTAGATGTGTCCAGTGGGTATTAGCCTTAATAGTCAACCCTAATTAATTATCAGTGTAGTCATACACTGAGGGATGAATAGTTATCAAACGAGACAAAAATTTTGTAACAAGTTCACATTTTATGTTGCATTATTAAAAGGATACCAATAACCTGAAATCTAACCACTTTCTTTCTGTCTTTCCTTCCTTCCTTCAATTAAAAGAAGCTTCAGCTACTAAAATTGCCTTATGTTCTCCTACCATTGGTGGCGAATGGGGTTTATAATCACATTTACCTATTGATTAATACTATTTTCTCTCTCATACTGCTGTGCAAAGGACCCACACAAAAAGATGGAAATCACTGCTTCAGTCCTAAAGCTTTTACATGTCTACTTAAAACTTACTCCTATGGAAAGTCTATGAAAGCAATGGGATGTTCAAGTATTTCCAGTACTGGGATTCCAGATTGGAAATTTTGAGCGGTGCTGCCCATCTTTTGACTACATATAGAAATCAGTACATAGAGCATTGACCTTTTTAGGGACTTGTATAGTACAAACAATATACAATAAAAATAGATCTGTGACTACAGAAGTAGAATTGTGGAGATGACTGTGCGTGCAATGGCTGTGTTCTCAGATGTACAAGTGAGATAGAATGAAGAAAAAAAAGTGTTTTTTATAACTTCTTTCAGATCTGGTAATAAAAACCATTAAAATGTTCAAACAGCAGCACAATCCTGCAGTTATCTCTGCACGGGTGGCACTTTACACTCATGTAGATACGCTGATAGGATTAGGATCGTTGGACTGCTAGTTCCTCAGCAAATGGACAGTGTATATCTCTGTACTTGTACAAGAACCAGTACAAGATGGTCTCCAGTTCTAACTCTAGTACTAGCAACTCTTAAGGTGTTTGTACACATGACAGGAGTTAAGTCCTTCAGGGCTGCATTCTATGCACCCTAAACTGAACTGGTGAGTTTTTAATTGAAATGATGTGTTTTATTTTTCTGTTACTGATTACATGGTATTGTCCTGGCAGCCTCAGGCTCCCACTGAAGGCCCAAGTGGTGAGGGGCCTGATCCTCTTTTTTTTTCCCCAGCGGAGGTGGCCTGCCTCTCTCTCAGCCAGAGGGCAAGCTGGTACCAAAGTGAGCAGCCCTTCTGCTGCCCCCGCACCCCTCACTCTGGCCCTGGGGCAAGCCAGCCCATTCCCGGGTGGCATCAGGTGTTCTCGTGGCTACAGGCACCTGCTGAAGGCAGAAGCAGTAAGGGACCCAACCCTTTTTTGCAGCGGAGCTTGCCCACCTCTCCCATAGCCAGGGGGCAAACTGACAGATTAAGAGATGCAACGTTCCAAGTTGCAATGCTGCAAACTAAACTACATTGGGATGTACTTTAGTTTGTCATGAGGCAAACTCATTTAAAACCCCAAAATCTTGCATACATGTTAAGTGTGACTCCATTAAGCCCCACAAAAGGAAATGTTCCTTGCATGTATATTGTAACATAATCATATGTACAAGCAGCCTTACAGACATCCTACCCTGTGAGGCATTAACTCCAGTGCCCAAAGGCTTCCTCAGCCAGTATTGCTCAGGCAGAATAGGGAATCAAAACACCAATTCTCCTACCATCTGCAGTCCCCTTTCCTTGCAATTTCTTTTACACAGTTCATAAAATTGCCTTTTCAGATACCTAACACAAATAGCAAAGACATTGGAAGGTGTCTCGCAAGCACTTGGGACTTCACTCATGCTAGCAACAGCATGGTACAGTAGTCACTGGGTGTTTAGGAGTATTTTAAATTTATTCTTTCCAAAACTTTGTGGAATCTTTTCACCCACCCTCATATAACATTTCTCATTATGGCTAATAATAATGTCTGTTGGTAAAGTCATATCCAAGTAAGTTGGCTCGGGAAATTCTAGCAACAGCTGTACAGGAAAAGGAAAATTACAGAGCAAAATGCACAGAGGTCAAGAAATTATTAGTATTGTAGTAATTTACTCAGCAATTCTAAAATGTTTTATTTCAAAGAAACTTTATTGGAAACTGGCTGTAAGTATACTATGTCAAATAACAACACAGCGTTGATAGGATTTGGAAAACGAATGTATAACATACAAGGATTTGAAGAATAATAAAAGTATGTTCGACTTACATTCACTGGCAGGTTTGCTTTTACAATGAATGCCCTGAAAATAAAAATAAGGGACATTTAAAATAACCATTTTAAAGGATAAAAGATATTGGTGACTAAGTATACGCACACAAACAGAAACAGATTTTAACAAGTCAGCTTCATCAAAGTTTATTACAAAATTATTTTTACAGAAACAAGTCTTCAACCACACACTGCCACATAACAGCCATATCCTACTCCCACTGATTCAGTGGGTCCAGGATCAACTTTTAAACTTGGTATTAACTTTCTAATAATGTTCCTTATAAGAATGATAGCAATTCCTTCAAAACACAGAACTATGAATTGGTAAATAGGGGATGCAATTTAGTATTAGAATAAATTTTACCATGGACTAGTTGGATTTCAATTGCACATCATCAATGAGCAGGCAACCCCAATGAATTTGCTTGGAAGGTACTTAATACACTTTTGGAGATAAATAACAACAGTATTCATGCTATGCAAAAATTTGTAAAGAGCACCTACATCTATGAAGAATCAATATTGAAATCAATCAAGTCTAGCTCAAGAAATAAGGCTTGATAATGAAATTGCGAAGATATTCGAAAAAGATTGTCTAACGGGATGGACGAAGCTGAGACAATATTATGCCTCGTTCTGTTACATTCCCCATTTTTCCTAATCACCAGTGCAACTTTTGAGTTAGGAATGGCTATTTTCAGAGGTTAGAAAATTTCTAACAAAACAGTGGGTGATTTTTAGTCTTTTTTATTTCTCATTCCCTCCTACCTATTCTTTACTTTCTGAGTGCTGCTATTGGTAGTGTGTCAAAAATCCACTATAAAAGTCAGATGTGCCAGAACGATGATGTAAAAAAACCTTTCTTTAATGTTAACAAACACAGAAAGCCATATGCTTTTATGGAATAAAGATTTCATCAAACTTTCACACACAATGATACTGCTGATAAATGTATTTTGGACGTGAGGGGCCTGTTTGCTGAAAGTTACATGTTGAGACTGTTGTTACCTTTATATAACTACAACCAGTGACAAGCAGGGGCAAGACAGGGGCAACCCCAGGAGGCACCAACTTGATGGGGAAAAGGGGGAAAAAAACCCCACTGCTGCTGACAGCTGCATGTTCAGGTTTGCAATTGCAACAGTAACTGGAAGTCATTGTTTCCACTTTGCTTTGGGTGCCTGGCTGCATCCCTACACTGCTGACTACAACTTTGCCTAGGAAACACAACCTAAAGAAAAATCAACCTTACTTTATACAATTGTTACACTACACTTAATATTTTTAAGTATTTTCAGAAGTGCTTGAACCCCCAATCAAGTCACTAAGCATGGTGGCTGGTCAGAAAGCAGTGACCCAGTTTCCACTGGAGATTAGAAGTAATGCAAGTGTTAGAATGTGGGACATTTTATGTGCAAGACCGGATCTGCTGTAATGCATTCTATAAAAATATTTATATTTTCTTATAAAAAAAATGCTCAAACAACCTGGCATTTTGCAGACTCAGATTCCCAACTCAGTCTACTCAGTGGAAAGGAAAAAGTTAGAGTTCCCTGAATAATGAAATGTAACACCAGGTCTAACACAAATAGAAAAGGGAACAACTTGTTTGATATAAAATTTATTATGGAATCTTAGCTGCTGATTAATACATTGATTTGTTATCCTTTTTTTGTTTTTGGTTTTTTACTGCATACTATAGAAGAGCTACATAGAAGAGAAAATTTCATTCCCTTTCATTCACTGAGTTTCTGGATGTATTAGGAAAACTTCAGTTGTCAAATCTGCAAAACGAACACCTACCTCTAGCAGCAATAAAAATGAAGTGGGAGAGTAACTGTGTTGCTCTTCTTCTGAGAATGCTCAAAGAATGGGCAAATGATTGTTGGGCAACTCCTTTTTTGGAGGGAACCAATCTCTCGTTTCCAATTTTGCATTTTATCACCTTGTTCCTAACCTTCTATTCTGGGGAAGACTATTGAAAAAGCTGTGGTTAAACAGCTCTGGGAACTTCACTTGAACTAGTCAAAATTCCTCAAGACACAATTACAAAATTAGTTAACTATTATGTACAAATCTCACCTTCCTTTACTTCCTTTAAATCGAGAGGTTTGTGGTGAAAAAAAAAAAAAAAAAATCAGTGGCAAAATCCTGGGCCCATTGATGTTAATTCCATTAACCTCACACAGAGCCAAGATTTCACCCTCAGAGTGCCTAAATGTTTCAAGCCACCTAAAAATGGCAATAAGAATAGTTTGCAGAGGTGTTGGTATCATCCCGATGCAGGTGCAGAGCTCCTCACAATACATCTATTGTACTGAAATCTGCATCAGTTCTTATACTGTGGTCATTAGGAAGAATAGCTCAGCACCTTTCAGTAGTTTATATGCAATGTGACTAACAGCTGGCACGTGTTAGCCTTTCCCTCAGGAGAGAAGTTTGTCCAGTGAAGTTTCTTACTTTTGTGTGGAACCTAAATTTGTTTTTCTTTGAGGAAGTTTACTTAGCTAATCAATAGGATTTACACAAACACCTGACAATGGGGAGGGAGAGTTGGGCACTTGGTTAAAAGCAAATTTCTTGTTTTAAAAAGTAATTTGTTTTCATTTACCTTTCCTGAGCTTTTTCCTTTATAATCATTTTGCCAGAGAGTGGAGAAAGAGAATTCATCAAAGAAGCATTCAGATAAATTACCCGTCTCCCATTTTCTGGTGTCTTTGTTTTGATAACGTATCTAAACTGACTCCAATTTAAAATAATAACCCCAAATAAGAAACTTTTCCATTTCCATGAATACTTTGGGTCTCTCTTTATGCAAAAGGAAGTACCTATGCACTGCTACATTTTGCTGTTCTTATATGTGCATAGTGTCTCTGATTCATCCCTACTGTGGCAGAGTGCCCAAGCAAACAATGAAGAAACAGTTAGGGATTTTCCTGTTTCTCTAGGGTTTCCCCCATCTACAATATTACCCAATTGTAGCTGGAGGTTATCTGAATAGATACAGCTAACTTGCAGTGTCTTGAATACTAGGTGGTGCCAGCTGGCAGCGTTTTAGCTAACCTTAGCAACTATTGAGAGGTGTAATATCTTTTAATTGTGTTTGCAGTGGGGGAGGAGTACAGAAGGGAAAGTGGGATTAGCAGAAGAATGCTTGGACTTTTTGTGGTGACAGAAAAAATATCCCCATATTTCCCAACAACCACAGGAGTTGGGGCAAGAGAAAAACTGGAACAACACAAAACGCCCTGTTTGTCACATGACAATGCCAGGAGGTCACAGTAAGACTGAGCTGCATGCTCCACATGTAACTTTGGCCTTGCCAAAAGGTGCACCTGGCACTCCAAAGAAGGTGGTACCTATAGGGCTGTGAGCAGATCCAAGTGAAGGAGGACAGCTGTGTGCAGGAAAAGAGATTTTTTTTTTTTTTTTAAAGACAATAGTTTAAGGAAAGGTTATGGCCTTTGTCTTTGGCTCTGCAAGGTCATCCTAACGCCAGCTAATCCAGGCACAGCAGTTCTTTCCCATGCATGAAGATCTCGGATGGAAAGAGAGTGAACAAAGTAGCTTCTATACAATGATGCCACTCCGCGCTATCAGTGCTGGAGCAATGGCCTGAGAGAAAAGGAGTGTGTCTGAGGCATCCCTAGAATCTGGCAGGGTCCAATTCTTACGACTGTTCCTTGGGACCACCAGCTTTGAGCTGCCCTGTGCTGCACTGGAGAGATGATCCCAGTGCCAGCTGACCCCAGCATGAGGACAGCCCAAAACAACCATCTGCAGAGGCAAGCCCTGAGTTGGAATTCCCAGGCGCAGCTTTGCAAGCAGGCACTCCCCTGGTTTTAGAGGCCTGATGCAGCACACCCCAGGAATTCCTCACCAGGGGGACTTCCAGGGTGCACAGGATTCAATTTGGTGATTCAAATCACTGTCCCAATTCGAGTCAGCCAAATCTCCAAATCAGCCAGGCCAGGCCCATCCCCCACCCCTCTGCCAGCCTGGCAATGGCTGCCCCAGGTCCCGGCACTTTAAAAAAAAAACAAAAAACCCCTGGCTCAGCAGGTGCTGCTGGGCAGGGCGAAAGCCCCTCTGCCTCCCCACTGCCCCACACTGCATGGGGGGCTCTGCAAGATCTCCCCAACCCCCCACCCCAACTCCCTGGGGGTGCTCTCTGGCCCTTTAAGAAAAAAGAAAAAACGAAAAACGCTGGGACTCACCACTCCTGCCGCGGGGGAGTGATCCCTACTGCCCCCCATTGCCCTGCAGCATGTTGGGGGGGGCTCTGCATGAGCCCCCAAAGCCCTGAAGCCACACCAGGAGTGGTAAGTCCCAGGGCTTTTCTCCGGGTTTTTTTTTGTTCTTAAAGGGCCGGATCTGGCTCGGACAGGGCACCCGTGGGGGGACTCGTGGCAGAGACCCCCATGCAGCATGGGGCAGTGGGGGGCAGTAGGGGTCGCCTCCCCGCCCAGCAGCACCCAGTGAGCACCGGGACTTTTCTTAAAGTATGGAGCTGAAGCGGGCAGGGGGGCAATCATGGGGGGCTGGGGGAGTGGGCTTGGTGGCAATGTGGTGGGGCTACTTGTGGCAGGATAGCTT